CATTAATGCTTACCTTCTTTTTTGTGCATTGATAATTAAAATTGATATCTAAACCAAACGAATGGTTTTATCGAAACAATAACTAATTATCCAAAACTATAAAAGTTTTAATAATGTCACTGCAAATATTCAACTCAGTTTGCAAAGATAGCTGAAGCTGCGTATGATATTTACATTTGTAATGTCAATGCTCGTCACACGTGACTTTTAGACAAACGCACATCTGTATATGACTTATAAACTGCGCTGAGTTCGTGCCACTGCGCGGTGGTACGTAAATACTTGTTTCACCCCAATAAATATAGGTTTATTAATTTTTGTTTTATAAAGAAACTGATATTGAGTCAATTCTAAATAAAAATTCACAAATTTTACATACTTAATCAGGTTTGTGTGATTTGCGCATTGAGAACTGTTTTTTTTTTCCGATTCGGATCGACCCTTCCGATTCGGATCGACCCCCATTCGCCCACCTGTCTCAGATCGACCCCCGCTTTTGTTAAATAGACCCCTGGGGGTCTATATAGACCACTTTGACGACCTCTGCTCTAAAGTATCATGATACTTTATCATGATACTTTATACTCTAAAGTATCATAATAAAAGTGCGAAATTTTATCACATTTTATCTCATTTTATAAGACAATATTTCATTGATAATTTTACCAAAATCCTTACCAAAGTGCTTCTGTGAAAATTATTGAGCTCTTTGGTGATCCCATCGAGCCTGACACGCAGTAAATTTTATCATATTCTGTTAGTTTTGACCATACTTTTTCCCCGATGTAAATAACGAATGTTCAAATTTAAAATTGGACTATATTATCTCAAACTTTGAATTTTTAAAGGTAAAATAAATAACCTATTATTAACAAAATGAAAGATTTCATTGACTGCAGCTTAAAAAAAATACAATGTAAAAGTACAATTTCTGAAGCATTATTTTAGTCTAGAAAATCATATTATAATGATCGAAAATGGTTAAAAATGATTTCAAAAGAGCTACTAGCTGATTATTTAATCATTAAATTCTATGAATTATCATTAAACTCTATGATATCAAAGTTTTTAATAGAGGATTATAAACGCTGCTAAAACGGGCAGAATTCTATTTTATATCCTGAAACTTTTAACTGAAAAGAAAGAAAGAACTGGTTGCGGTCTTCAAAATAATAAAACAATACTTCATTTAGTAAATGAATGTTCAACTTCAAGATGAGACTGAATTATCTCAAACTTTCAATTCTTAACATCAAAGTGAAATAGTTATTTTTAACAAAATTATGTATTTCATCAACCGCAGCTGGAAAAAAAACTTATAATTATAATTACTGATGCAATATTTTAGCTCAGAAAATCATATTATGATATTCTAAAACGATTAAAAATTGTTTGAAAAGAGCTATTTACTGATAATTTAATTCGTTAACCTTAATGAAATCAACGTTTTTCATAGGGCGACTAGTAACTAAACCATTATACTGTGCCAATTAATGTAAAAAGCTTCATTTTTTTTCATCCTATAAATCCTTTATGCACTTTGAATTGCTTAAATTTTTAATTTCGCTTATGACGGTTAATTTAATTTCGATAGTCAAATTATAGTAGCATTTTTAATGATTTGATGAGGTCATTTTTAATTTTAATAAAGCATTCACGGAGAAAACAAATCTGGTATAATTGCCGCACTGTATAATTATGACATTTCTCATAAAAAAGAATAATAATTTTTTTTAATAAAACCAAAATATACGATATTTTAAAAAATTCACATGGTAAAGGTTTCCGGCATATTACCGGAAATTCTGGTTTTCGAAATTACATCTCTTATTATCACACATTTAGAAGAAATAAAAACTGATAAGTAAATTTAACATAATAAAAGGTTTTTATGCTCTGGTCTAAGTATATTATGATGAAATTATCAAATTTTACACCTTTTACCAAATTTTATATCATATTATAAAATTAAATTTAATTGTTAATTTCACCAAAATCGTAAATAAAGCCTTTCGTTAAAAAAACACCAAGTTTTTTGGCTAAATTTTTTTTGTTCCCATAGAACCAGAAACCCGTTAAATTTTCTTGTAGTCTTAGCCATGCTTTTTTTCGCATTGAAAATTTTAGACTAAGAAATTCTACCTTGTCAAAATATTTTTACCATATTCATGAAAAATCTGTAAAAAGAACTAGCATATCAAGCAGATTTGCGACAAGTGAAAAGTAAAATTGTGACAATTGAGAAAGAAGAAAAAAACAATTCCGATGCAATCGAATACATAAAACTATTCTAACCTGCAACAACATTTTGTTATGATTACAGTACCTATTTTAGAAACATAATTTATGAAGATATTTTCAAATTATCAACTAGATTACCTTAAACTGTTAAAAATATTTTTGCTAAGAGAGCCAAAATGCCCTTATCTTTGCTACAACCTAAAAGTGCGTGAAGATTAACCATATCATCATGCAAGTTCAGTTTTCTTACAAATTATAATACTACAGGCCTAAAAAAAGTATTGAGTGGATGTTTATATTATCGCAAGACGCAAAAGAAATCTATCTTGACCTAAATAAAAAAAAATGAAGATTTTGTTTAAAATTGATTGTTTACAACTACAAGTTTCTGAAAATCGTTTTTATAGTGTTATAAGCCTATATTAATCTGAAGTGTCTTACTTAACGTTAATAACATTGACTTACCATTTATAGCATGATTCATTTAATATTTTCCGTTGTTAAAACGGCAGTTTTTGTTTTGATGAATCATCCACATAGTGAATCGTCGTATTTAGAGATTCGGATAGCGATCTATCTATGGATCGGTGTATGAGTCAATAAATTTATCAGTAAATCAGGGTAAGATCTAAGATTGATCCCTTCACAAATGATTTTTTCCTCCTTCCTTCGCTCTCATTTTTATAGCATCAGAAAAGTCTATAATAACGTTTAATTGCGTTACTTTGATTAGCTAATCCTTATAGCATGACACAGTTAATACTTTCCATTATTAAAACGACAGTTTTTTTTTTTTTACTGAATCATCCACTTAGTGAATCGTCCTACCTAGCGATTTTGCGAACGATATCTGTGGATCGTTGTATTAGTCAATAGGTGAATCTGTGAATCGGAATAAGATCTAATATTGATCAAATAAGAAGATCCATCAGAAGAATCTATAATGATGTTTAATTGTGTCACTTTTATTGCGTTATAACACTCTTTAGTTTTTAATTTAAGTTCAGCACAATAGAGACGCAATTAATTCTTAATTTCATTGGTTCCAAATCAGCCAACATATATATATTTATATATGTATATATATATTCTTGAAGAAAATTAAGACTGCTACTCCAGTGAACATACAAATGAT